TCGAATTTTCACGATTACTACTCGTATCCGTAAACTATCTCTATACAAGTACTTACGAACAAAATACTTATAAATACAATTTGTGAGTACTCGTACTCGTACAATTTACGAGTATTTTATTCAGTACTCGTGCCCAGCTCTGGTTGAAGGCAGAAAATTATTAACCGTGTCTAAAATAAAAGAATTGCAAAACATATCAAAGCGTATTATATATGAAAATGTTAATAAAACAGTAGATATTAGATATTAGATAATATTAGAACATGCGGCATATTTGTAGACGAAGTGCAAGGGTTTTTGGCAGCCTCTCCTGATGGTAATGTATAAGAAATAATATACATATACGTCATGTCATTTTATTAATCATATTAATTTTATTATTTTTTTATAGCTCTTTTAGGGGATAATGCCATTATTAAAACAAAATACCTTCATAGTGTTCACAAATCAAAAAAAAAAAACTTAGAAGAAAAATCTACAATGTGCTTGGAAATAAAAAATAATATGCTGTCGTTAAATCATAACTACTATTACCAAGTGAGAATTTTAAATCATTTGCCTGAATATTTTTCATCTTTCAATATTTTTATATTTGCACGGAAATAAAATTATTTAAATGTGTTTTTAGCGTTAAATAAAAATAATAGTAGCATTTTTTTTTCAATTCATAAAGTTTTTTTTTTTTAGATTCAAGGACAGCTTATTTGTAGAAAAGATATATGTTTTTTTATAGTATACATAAACGACGAACAACCCCTACATATAGAAGTCATTCTAAGAGACCAACATTTTTGGCAGAATAATGTTTTACCCAAATTACAAAATGTTTATAATCAGTATGTAATGCCAGAGATTGTGTACAGGAATATTCCAAAAACGACTGAAAGCCAGAGAGGCTATTTGAAAAGAATATTTTGTTATTTATTTACATATTTATTGAATTAAATAAAGCTTTTACTGGATACTTAGAAATTTTTCATTTTATCCTTCCTAATAAAAAACATTTTTGAAGAGTAAATGAAAGAGTCATTAGTGTTATTTTAACTGATTTTTTTTTGAAACCATGAACTGGAGCAAAAATATATCGGTGTCACTGATAGCCTAATAAATATATTATTACATTACTGGCCTTCAAAGTAGCATCACTTTATTGCATTGATGAATATTTATCTCATGATAGTTAACATATTGATTAACCAACTCATGCCCATTTTGCCGAATTCACACTTTATTTACAAAAAAAAACTCAGCATACATTTTTAACCAATTTTTTTACAAACTTTTGTTTTTCCTCGTATAAAGACATTTATTTTAAATATTGGTTAATTTAGATTTTAATTTTAGACAAAGCACCAAATTTTATTAAAAATTCGTCTTAATAAGAAAACGTTAAAAAATGAGTCTCCCTGTATATATAATTTATAGTTGTGTAAATTGTAAATAACCATAATAATATAGTTTTGTCTAAATTCAAGACAATTTTAAAATATGGCAACCCGGCGCCGAAGCTTTCGCTACTTTTGCTTAATCGGACATCTATTATTTAGGTCCTGAACTAAAAAGCAACATGGACGCAGTGACATTATCAATTTTAGATGAAATCGTATTTTGTACAGAACTTAAAAAGTACGCAACATTGATTATTAAAATTTGGCAAGAATATTCAAAAAAATATGCAGAATGTTATAAAGTTTTTTGAACTACATCTGTGACTATCACTTTTTTATATTTTTTAATAGTATTTAATAAATAGCAGGACAAATGAAAATGTCTCATTTCAATCATTAAACATTTTTCTATAAGCAAAGAATACCTACCCAAGAAGCGACACTAAATGGGCGATTCGTGGACAAAAAATTGCCAAGTTTTCTCAGTGTTTTAGAGGTAGTTTAACGTCAAATATAGTTGTCAGTTCATGTAGTGTATGACGTTTGGTATATTATTCTTAGCGTTTTGAGAAAATTTCAGTAGGTTTATTTAAAAGTAGTAATTATATATTAGATAGTTTAAAGGTTTTTATTAGAATGAAGAAAATACATTGCGTTGTTCGTGGTTGTGTTACAACTTCAGAACAGGGGCTAACAATGTTTAAATTCCAAGGAGATGCCATAAGGTATGTACTGAAATGTTACTGTTCAAATTTATTTAGAAAAATTAAGTATTACTAAATATAATTTTGTAGAGCTCAACTCTGGTTAAAAGCTTGTAATCGTGAAGATTTAAATTTCACAGTTCCTAGTGGCTTATCTTCATATAGAATATGTGAACAACATTTTAAAGAAAAATATTTTTCAAGCAGTACATCTTATAGAAGACGATTATTTGACAATGCTGTACCCACAGTATTCTCCAAATGCAAACGAAGCTATGATATTCTCACTATTGATCCTCCAAAAAAGGTAGTAATTGTTTCTGGTAAGTGTTTCAAACTAATATACATATAAAAATGTTAGTTTAACGGGGGTGGCGTTTGTTCAGTGATTTTAACCAGTGTTTAACATGAAGAAATAAATTATGGTATTTGAGTACAATTAAATATTACAAATTAAAAAAAAAACATTTAGCTAATACTATAGTCTTCGGTATACGAGGAGCCGAAGCAAAACGATTGCTTAGATTGGCGACATTTTGACAGGGTCGTATCCAGAATCAATTATTATAGCAAGAATTTTCCGTCATTTTAACTTTAGTATGTGTTTAATTCTCATGAACCAAACAACAAAAATTGATTGGGATTATACGTTTCCCAGTGTATTAAGTTCCCATTTACGTCAAGGTCGCTGCTACTTTGGTACATAGAAAAACTCATTCAGTTTCGCTTCTTGGGTATGTATTCTTTGCTATAAGCTGCCAAAGTTTCACTAAAATCCATCCAGTGAAAAATAAGTTCTGTAAAAAATCGTAAACCTATGTTTTGACCACGTAAAATACACTAAAATGGCGACCTTAAACTGCGATGAGCCAGCGGAAATCATTTTTCTTGGCACATCGCTACAGAATCGGCATGGTCAGTTTCGTTTGAATGATTCTGCCGTAACAATCTGTGTTATATTTTAACAGATATTTAGTGTACATATATGGTGTTTTAAAGCTTTAAATTTTTTAAATATCAAGTGCTGACACGGCTAAAGAAACTGCTAAGTTGTGTTTCAACACTCCACCTAAAAAAAGACAAAAACTGCATTTTAATATTATTAAAAAAAAAGAAATGTAATTATGAACAATTACAAAAATTAAATTGGAGCAAATCTTTTATTGTCAGTTGATGAAATCGTAAGAAAAGTTGGAAACATTAGTGAACTGTATCCCTCAAGTATTTAAGTGTGCAGCTATATGAAAACATAGACGGAACCATTTTTTTTTTCGGCTTTAAAATCATACCCCTCACGATAAAAATTTATTGATATGGTAGACGATTTTAATTTAAGCATTGTAAATGATTATCCCGAACTACCAAATTTCAAAAAGTAATAAAGAAATAGTAGTGTGGAGACGAGAGTATTTAATGAAAACTTATTTGCGAGCAAATTTGGCTTCGAATCCTACAAAAGAACATGAAAATTATTCTCTCTCTATAGGATTTAGGATTTAGTGGTTGCCGCATTATCAGAAATTTAACTTTTTTTGATATAACATCCAGATTATAAAAATCGCCATGCATTACCATTTCGATGACGATGGACGGGGTTTTCCGGATTTTCCTCATCTGTCACCCTGGAGCGTCAGAGCAAATAATAACAATAGCCATTCCTTTTACTACAAAGTCGCTCAGTCGGCTTCAGGAGATAAAATACACTCTTAAGAGGGTGAATTAGGGAGAGTATTATTCTTATTATTAATGTAGTAATTTCTGTTTTATTTAAATGGAAAAATTTAGCTTGTGTCAAATTTGTACCCTCTTATTGTGTTCCCGAAATTCGTAATTTTGTAATTTGATTAATTTTATATGCTTATTTAAGCAAGATTTAACGTTTTTTTTTTTGAAGAGATACACGAAAAACAATTATTACATGTTGTGGCTGGAAAGCTGGAAACATTTAAAACTTTAACATCAAAATTTTCCATTAAAAACAGAATTTATGTTTTTGCCTTATTCTGAAACTTGCTAAATTTGTTTTTTTTTGTTAAATATTTTATTGGACTATGTTTTGCAAAACAATTTACCCAATTTCAAAATCACATTTTTGGCACATTGTCGCCAAAAATAAAATAGGCAGTAGATTCTTCTGTTTTAACTAAAACAAAATAAATTCCCTTTTAGAAATAAAAAAAGATTAATAATATATCACATAGGTTTTGTTCCTAATATCTTGTGGGCTAGGGTGGGCCGAAAAATCCATTTTTCGAAAATTAAGATAACTTGCTAAAAATATGTGTACCTGTTACTAATGTATGACCAAAAAATTTCAACAAAAAATTTTAATGTTTAGCCGGGCCCCCGAGGCCCCCAAAAATTGTTTTTCTTTTTTTAATTTTGATGTTTGGTACTAAAAAATCAACTTACAAGTACTTTTAAATACACACGCCAAATTTTATCGTTCTAAAGTTATTTTTAGCCGGTCTTCAGGGTCTCTGAAAATTAATAATAAATTTTCCAAGTCCGGTCCTGTATACCTATCAATTGTATATCGATAAAGACAATCTAGATCTTACTAACACTACAAAAAAAGGGAATTACTTTCGAAACGTCTAAATACAAACTGCAGAAAATGCTGAAGAAATAACCAAAAGGGTTCCTATCGTGTTTAAAGAAACAGAATACATCTTTTGAAAATTTGGTTGGCCTTGGTTATGATGGAACAAATGTTAATACTGGATGGAAAGGCGGTATCATTCAAAAAATAGAAGTGTATATTGGCAAACCGGTTCATTGACGTATTTGTATGCTCCATACCAATGAACTACCACTAAGACACATACTACAAGAGTTGGATGGCAGTACCAAAGGGCCTTATTCTTTCTCGGTGCTTTTAGGAATTTTTCTTAAGGATTGCGAAAAAATGTCAGAGGTACAATTTGAACCTATTACTACACAACTTTCGGAACTTCCAGAGACAGATTTAAGCACGAACCAACAATTTTTATATCAAAGTTCAGCTATTAGTATTGGAATTATTCCGGATAACTTGGCAAATAAAAATCCGGGTAAACTGAGCCATGCTTGTTGGCTCACCACAGCTAATAGGCTTCTACGATTATATGTAGCAACTGACAATCTCTCTGATAATCTTAAATATATCACCACGACTATTTTAAGGATTTACGCCCCAATGTGCTTTCAAATTAAGACCAAACCAAAGCTACATTATGGGATAATTAACTTTTGGCACACAATTAAAGCATCTAGAGAGTTTCCAAATAATATATCAAAAAGGTTTTTGGAATAGTATTGTCAACTAATGCTTATTTTTCACACCCGGAAAATTTATTATTGGCAATATTTTATCCCCGTGATTTCGTAAGAGAATTGACAATTCGCAGGATATTAAAAGCTAGACAACAAACACATAAAGGTGTTCAATTTTTCAAGCTACTAAAATTAATTTTGAATCTAAAGATTAAATTAATTCTATTAAATAGCAAAAATGTACCATTACATTGGTAATGAAACTTTCAGATAATGTGAAATGAATCGAAAGTATTTAAAGTGTGTAAATTGAGTTTTATTAATAAAACTCTGTAAAAATTTGTCTAAGCGCTTTCGGCATATTAGGCCATCATCGGAGACTCTACAAAGAGAAAAAAACGGAGCTGTAACAATATAATCAACTCGTAACAATACTAAACAATGAATAAAAACTTGAACACTTACTCGTCAAAAACTATAGAAGAGACATGAAAAATGCATTAAGTTAAAAACGACAGCAACAGACTTGTCTCAAGTCACCACATAGCTTGTAGCTAGGATAATTGAATATAAAAGAACCACACCGATCATGTGGTTGAATTTTAACAAATGAAGTGGAGGTTCATCCAAAAAAGTAAAACTGAACACTACAAACCATTCAAAGGAAAAGATACTGCTTGTCTTCAACATGAAAACAGCCAGATTTTTCCAGTCGCTACCGTGAGGCGGAGGCAAGTTGGGACACAAAAAATAGTAGGTTCACGATATTTTTGAGAACGTGACCATCTTGACAGTTTCCAAAAAAGACTGAGTGACAATTGAAATTTGACAATGAAGTTTTCAAGAAAATTGCCAACTTGAGAAATTGAAATGAATTTCGTGAAAAATTGTCAAAAGTTGATATTCAAAATGATAAAAGTGGTTTGGTACCACTGATCTAGCAAGATCAAGTTATGGCGGGACTTTTAAATTATAAACAGCAAAAGATTACAATGATTAAATAGAATTATAAAATGTACAGTGAATGAAGGTGAAAAACATTTTTTTATAAAATTATTAGAAATTAAAAGGTGCCAGACTTAAAACAACAGAATTGAGCATGCCGACCCCAGTGAAACCAATCAGCAATCGCCGGAGAAGACAAGATCAACTCCGCTGCAAGAAGATTCATGGCGAAGCTGTCTAGGTAACTTCAGACCAGTCGTTGCCAGTCTCAAGTTAACTTTTTTTAGAGCACTTAGGAACATAAATCACAGCTTTTTTGCACTACTGTATCATATGTTTTTAAAAAACGATTTTTTTGCTGTTTTTGGCCCATCCTATTTTGGGCCTTTGTGTCGAAGAAGACGGGTGACTATCATGAGGAGATGGACAGTATATCGTATTACGGGTAGCCTGTCCTGATAAAGGGGTTCAAATTACCGAACTCCCCTAACCAGGTTGGCTAGTAATCTCAGGGATGGGTACTTGTAAATCGTCAGAAAGAAGAAAAAACTTGATTGAAAGAATGTGAACTAGGCTTATTATTTTTTATCGATTCTTGATGTCAAAAATTAAAATTATAAAATATAACCAACAAAACACGAAATGTCGACTCTCTAGAAACAAAGATTAAGTACAAGGCGTGTTTCTGCAAGTATTCCTACTTCTAAATTAAACCTCCTTATAATATATAACCCTCCAAGTGATTGGTTATAGGGCGATTTACATAGACTTACTCGTGGTAATTAAGTGAACTCAAATAAGCACGATGTCCAGTTAGGCAGCTCCCTCTTGATATCGGTAGGTAGAAGACTTCGTATTCGGTGGGGCTATCTAATTGTCTGAACTCTGTTGCTAGCACGAAAACGGTGAAGTGGAGAAGACCTAATCAATATGGAGAGGTGGAGAGAACTTGCACACAGTCTTTAGGAGTATTCCTCTAATAAAAGCGTTTACGTAGAATTGTAAATCTGAACAAACGAAGGAAGGTACGCACGAATGAAAGAAGCGAACCAAGGAGGTCTGAAAATCTTTGACGATTGTAATGATTATGTATACAGAAGGCTGTTGGGAATATAGGTAAGTGATATAATTATTCATTTTGAAAAACCCTTGATGGTATATGACCTCTTAGTTATTAATTTATTCACACTTTCAGCCCGATACTATATCCACCACTAGGTATATAAATCACAAAGATTACTAAACAATATATCGAACTAAAGGAATCTATGGTTTTTGCCCAAGAATAAATCCTAGAAAATTATAGCTGAAATTTTGGCACATGCCACAATCAGAATTCAAGCAATAACTGGGCCAGGAGGGAAGTTCCACAAAATGGCCAACAAAAGTCAATGTCTTAGCAAAAGGGTAATACAAAAGGGTAATAGGATAATTTCTGGTAAGACTGTGGTCAATATTCAGAAGAATCTGACAACTGAAGGAGTTAAAATAGACATGTAAACAATAAAAATAAAGCTTTTTAGTAATTAAATGAGCTAGAGTTATTGTTCAAAGTAGCGAAATATATTTATTTACATTATAAATTATTTATTAAAGGTATTAATTATTATTGAATATACTCCAGGTGAGATTATACTTTATTACAAAATATTATTTTATATTTTACTACAAAATATGTTTGTTAAAAAAGGATATTTTATGAATTTATTTAATGGATCCATTTTATTGATTTATATACATTTATATACCGCACACTCTTAAATCTAAAGGTAACTAAAGAGATCAGCACAGGTTATAGTAGAACAGGTATGTAATAGAGTAGTTTAGTAATTAGAGTAGCTTAAGGTAAGTTAGAATCAAATAAAAGTAGAATAGTGTACATAGTCAAGCGTAGAATAATTTAGGGTAGCATAGAATAGATTAGAAGTAGGACAATGTAAATAATTAAGCGTAGAATAGGATAGATTAGACTAAGTTAGGATAAGGTAGGATAGAAAATAGAATAATTAAGATTAGTTTAGAATAGTTTAAGATAGTTTATAATAGAATAACCTAGTTTAGAGTAGTGTAAGTTTAGAATAATTTACAATAAGGTAGGCTAGGAAATAGGATAGGTTAGAATAGTTTAGAGTAGTGTAAACTAGGGTAATTTAGACTAGTCTAGGTTAAGATAGAATAAAACCCGTAACAATCGTTTGAGAATTGATTTAGCAACAAAATTCCGAACATAGAAAAGCTGATAAAAGTTTTACTAACGCCACAAGAAAATCTGTAATTCAAGAATGGTTGCGTCTGAAAAGTATACCATTCGAAAATAACATGGTAAAAGCAGAACTTTTGAGGATAGTAAATGATAATTAAACCAAATATAATATCGATGAAATAGCTAAAGCATATGATATAATATTTATAATATTACATTTTCAAAAATAACATAAAATCCCGGTCATCCCTTATTGCGACTCTGGACAAGCAGCCTCCTATGACATATCACGTGCACTATGCATATTAATGTTTTGGAGCACTCCATTGCTTGGATAGACTAAGTTTAAATTAAATATTTCATTTTGTTCAAAGTTCCATTTTACTATATTCAACTTCTACTGTGTCTAATGCGGTAGAGAAAGTACAGTCTGTTACAGTCTGTTACTCACAATCCTCCTAAACCCGCCTATGGTTACTGTCAGTCAAGATGAATAATCATTCTAGAATGCAGTTGATCCCGATCTTCAAATTGCAATTTTTTGCGGATGCACTTACTTTGTTTCAGTATAAGAATTGGTAAGGTGTTCAGAATGTTTAGAACAGGTCTGGAGCGTAAGTTTTGGGTATAAATAGACTGTTTTGCCTTTGTAGAGGTACAATATAGTCAGATATTGTTGTGTTAAGATATATTGGCAAAGAAAATTATTATTTAAGGGTTTGAGATATACATTTGTGTTATATTCAGTATAAATAAAAAATAAAGTTATAAAATATATTAGTCTAAATATAAAATATATTAAATAAACAAACTGTTTAAATAACTAGACGTTACAGTATGAAAGCTTTCTTGTATTACTAACTTTTTATAAATAAATAAGACATTACTGATTTAAATTACTTATTTACTTTTTTAATAAATAGGTTGGTACTTTTCGTAATTTTCTTTTTATTATTTTATAGTGCTACCGGTATATTGTAAGATGTTTTCTTGCCTCTAAGAAAATATTACCCTTACTAGTGACACCCTATGACTCGGAAGTACTCGAGCGCCAGTTTTATTAATGTGGTTTGCTCCACAACACAGGTAGCTTCTAGTGGAGATGACGGAAAAACTCCAGGGGTCTCGTTGATGTAAGACTATACACATAAGAGGGTAACAATAACGGGCTTTAATCGTTATTGTTACGTTTAAAGAATTGTCGAAGCTGAAAGAGAAAAAGGGAAAGGTCGACACAATTATAAGCCAAATTTTTGAAAATTAATACATCTATTGCTTACGAAAGCTAATAACAATAATAAAAATTAAAATATTTCAAAGCCCACCCCCTTATGAGTCGTTATAACCCAGAACAAAAAAATAACAAAAATAAGCGGTTGCGGACGATGGCTTGACAGGTCGGAGCTCAATCAGACGTGATTTAGATAAATATACAGATAAAAGCAAATAACAGGGAGTTCTGAATTAAATCGGATTACGGTAGCATTTACCTATGAACAGGGAATATATACGGAAATAGAATTCAATATTAACAATTATGAAAAATAAAATTAATCGGTACCAGGTAACTAGTTTAACTTCCCATCTAATATCCCACCCTTTTGGAATTAAATCAAAGTAAAAGACAAAATGTCACCACGGATAATATCTAATTTCCAGCAGTGTGACGACACAATCACGCATACAAAACACTAGCTAGACATCAGATACCATTTATTTTTTTGTACGGAACTCAAATAAACGTGTTTTCGGTCGTGACCCCCTTTAAAAAAAAAAAAAATCCACGGATAATGTCTAATCACTAGTAGTGTAGCGACACAATCACGCATACAAAACACTAGTTAGTTTTCAGACAATATTTTCTTTTCTTTTAAACTTTAATCGAAAAACTA